TTGGTTGCTGGGCTCTTGATCAGCTTTCAGTGTGCTACTGGGGTTCCAAGTCAGTGGAACTGGTAGGACACTTTAGTTAACATGTATCTCTCTCTTTCTCTGGGTTGTTCCTTTTCCTTCCCCTTTGTAAATAAACCCATTATTGACCTTCTTGCATGCATCTGCAGTACAATTGAATCTTAAGCATGCGGGTGAGGACCCACAGACAGGCAACCCAGTTCATGCTGGGTTGCCCTGTAAAACCACCAGTAGTGTAGTAAAGTTCGTCTCTCTCCACGTCCTCACCAACATTTGTTGTTGCTAGTTGTTTTAATGAGATGGTATCTCATTGTGGTTTAAATTTGCATTTCCCTTATTACAAGTGATATTGAACATTTTATCATATGCCTGTTGGCTGTCTGCATTTCCTCTTTGGAAGAGTCTCTTTAGCTCTTTTGCCCATTTTTAATGGGGTTGTTCATTTTATTTTTGTTAAGTTTAATCAGCTCTTTGTATATCTTTGTGACCGTCCTTTGTTATTAGTATTGTATGCAAAAATTTTCTCGAATCAGTGCGGTGTCTCTTTGTTTTGTGTAATGTCTCTTTTGCTGTACAGAAGCTCTTTAACTTGACGTTGTCCCATCTGTCTATCCTTCACTATCCTTGCTTTGGGTGATGTATCTTAAAAGATGTTAGTAAGGCATACATCATGTAGTGTTTCACTGACCTTTTCTTCTAGATATTTATGGTTTCAGGTGTTACATCTAGTTCTGTAATCCATTTTGAGTTGGATTTTGTGCATGGTGTGAGGTAGTAATCTAGCTTCATTTTTTTGTATATAGCAGCCCAGTTTTCCCAGCACCATTTGTTGAACCAATTTTCTTTGTTCCATAGCATATTCTTTGCTCCTTTATTCAAAGATTAGCTGCCCATAAACCTGTGGGTTTATATGTGGGTTTTCTTTTCAAATACACTAGTCTGTATATCTATTCTTGCTCAAGTACCATGCAGTTTTGATTTTATGGCTTTGTAGCATAACTTGAATTCTGCAAGTGTGATGACTGTTTTATTTTAGTCAGAATTTTGACTATGTGAGGTTTTTGGTGGCTCTATATAAATCTCATCAATATTTGTTTTATTTCTTTGGAGAATGTCATTGAGATTTTTATTGGAATAGCTTTAAATCTGTATATCACTTTTGGTAGAATGACCATTTTAATGATGTTAATTCTTCCAACCCATGAGCAGGGGCTGTCTTTCTTTGTATCTTCTTGTTACTTCATTCATTTCTATTATTGACTAACTTGATTGGAACACAAGGTCAATTATTGAAGAATTCTTCATAAAAATCACTCCAGTGCTACTGTATAAATGCAGTAGCATTTGGTCATAGTCAAAGCTATTTCTGACATTGATGTTTTCCTCGGGAGAAGTAGTTTTTAGTCTCAATCTACCTTTATAATTTAAGACAACAAAGTTAAAATCTTGTTCCTTCTTTCAAGCTTGATGTTTAATGCAAAAATACACAAAATCTGTGGGCAATCATATAGGCCACGCTTGTGAGGCTGATCTATATCTGCTCCTTCTGTGTTGGTCTAAGAACTGCTTTCTGGTTTGAGATGGAAGACAGGCAGTTCCCTGGAACTGTCCCTTCACTATGACACAAGTTCACAGAATCATAAAACAGGTCATGTGCTATTACTTGCCCTCCCAAACCCCTGTAGAGATGGTAGAGTGATAAATCACTGACTAAATAACTTCTCACCACCCCATGCAGCCTAAGGGAGGAGTAGAGGAACAGGCATTGTTTTAGCAGCCTCACTACTCAGCTAGTTACATGACAGAACTTCTGTTAAAAGGTACCAAGAGTTGTGAGGACAGAGGGGCCTAAGTACTCCAGGTCTTCTCAGAAAGGCAGCATTGGGACCCTGCCTAGTGGGTCTGCTGCTCTGGTTCTATGGATGAGGTCTGTGCTGGAAGCCTAGTCCTATCTGAAGTAATGAGGTGGGAACCACACCACACAAATGGAGTATGAGGGGTGCAGATATTCAGAGGTGGGGGCTTCTTGGGCAAGTATAACCAGTCCTTTTTAGCAATATAGCTAAAAGCCAATCTTCCACTTACTTTTAGTCATCATAACTTTTGAATGTAGAGTGTAATATTTTACTCCAACTGCTCAAGCCAGTCTTATCTCTAAAGCCTGTATGTTTTACCTACTTGAGGGGACAATCTGGTGAGCAAAGCAACAACACTTCTTTTCAAAACCCACAATGAGAACCCCTCCAAGAGCTCTTATCAAATAATCATTTACCAATACTAGAAAAGTGTGCCACATCAATGCTAACTAAGGAGAATGAAAGCAACCTTGCAGTAAGAATATGCACTATATGCAAGGGCCTCACTGCTCTGGAGTTTTCTCAGGGCTCACTAAGGTCTGGATGAATTATCTCTACCTGCTGTCAATGTCTGTTCCTTCCACACTCACTGGGAGCAACACTGGAATCCCAGTAGAGCACCTTTGGTAAGCTGGCATGAAGAAGTCGCACAAGCTGGCAAACTCAAGCATCCAGGTACCTAAAAGACCTATCCTTCCTTATAAATGTGCCATTTTGGGTCTTCTGTGTTTGGTTTATATGGCCTAGTGCAGGAAAGCCTCATCATTTCTTGGGCTACTTAGAAAAAAAAGCCCAGGATGGAGGGGTCCACACTGGGAAATGCTGTTGGTCCAGGAAGCTAGCTGGCTTCCAAGGGCTTTGCAATCTGGACCCAGGAGAGTAAGTTTGAGGGTACCTGTTTGTGGTTGGCAGTGATTCCTTGCAGAGTGTGTTAAAGCTTGTGAAGCTCAGAGAAGACAAGTACCATGACTGGTTAGTATTGTCTCCAAGAGTGGGATAGGCAGATGAGGAGAGGGTCTCTGCATTACATGTAATGAATTTCACCAACTCTAAGATGCATTTTTACATCTTTGAAATTGGGATGTATCTTATAATCACTGTGCCAGATTCTATTTTCCAATAATGGTCATGTTATTTCAAGTCTCACATGCTCCTCCAGAACCTACCCAAGTCCCCAACAAGAAATAGCATTAAATTTCTCTTCTCTTACAACTTGAGAGGGGGAGGGTCTTTATGACTTTCTCTAACAGAATATGATAAAAGTGTGCTAAGTGAGTTATGAAGCTAAGGCACTAAAAATGATGTTGCCTTTAACCTGGTTTTCTCTTCTTAGATGCTCAAGCTTGGAACCCAGGCACCATGCTCTAAGCAAGCCCAGGTCACGTGGCGAAGCCCCTAGTACTCACCTGACTGAGGGCCCAGCTGACAGCCAGTCATGTTTTGGAAGTGCTCTTTTGGAAGCAGGTCCTTCATTTGGAAGCAGATCTTTCAGTCCTCAGTGGGGCTGCCTGACTAACACAGCAGATCATGATTCATATGTAAAGCAAATGGTTGTTATGGTCTTAAAGGACTTAAGTTGTATAACAAATAGTGGTGCTTACACAGCAATATAAAACTGAAGCATTCCTAGTAAGCTCAGCAGTAGTTCAGGGTGGTCACAGCATGCATGTATGCACTAAAGCAAAATTTGTAGAATAAGACCTAAAAGAAACAGAGAAGCATACTTTCAAGAAATGCTTCATCACAAACACTTTCCACAGCACAAAAAACAGTACTGTCTGTGGAAACACGAGTTGGGTGACAATTAAAAAATGATTTAGAGGCCCTCCCTGGTGGCGCAGTGGGTTAAAGCACAGCACTAAAAAGCTAAAGCCACTTCAGCATGAGTTCGATTCCCGCCTGCCCCGGAGGTGACCACATGGCGCGGCAGACCTCTCCTGACCCGCCCACTGCTCCCCTTGGCAGTGTACTTCGCTGACCTGCCTGTTCTGCTCCCCACTCTGTCTCTGGTGAATCCTCTCACCCTCTGCATTTCTGGCTTGTACCCCAGTTCTGTATGAATAAATAAATAGATCTTTAAAAAAAAAAAAAAAGATTTAGAAGGATCAGACTCTGAATAGGAAGAACTTTTAGAAAAACCATACCAGTACTTTTGTGCACATTTTCCTTTTTAAGGATGTACAAAGTGATAGATAATAGAAAAGGCCTGTGTATAAATATGTAAAAATATAATTTTTATATGAATATGTAATATATTTTTAAAAATCAGTATTAAAGAAACACTAATCAGAAAGTATTACATCAATTTCACTGACAGGGTTTTTCTTTCTCGGGGGTAAAATCTCATAATCAATGACAACTTAGATTGAATGCAATTCAGGTATTTCTCTAACTACCCTATGAAATACAAATGCTCTAGAGCAGAATTTCATATATTTTTGTGTGTTCTTTGAATTCAACAGGGATAGGCATTCAAAGTTCATCTTAACTTTTGCTTTTAAAGATTTATTTATGCATACAGAACTGGATACAGGCCAGAGGTGCAGAAGCGGTGAGAGGATTCACCAGAGACAGAGTGGGGAGCACAACAGGCTGACTGACAAAGTACACTGCTGAGAGGAGCAGTGGGCAGGTCACAAGAGGTCTGCTGCACCATGTGGGTCACCTCCCTGGCTGGGGTTCAAACTTGTGCCCAAGTAGCTACAGCTAGCTTCACAGTGCTGCGCTTTAACCTGTTGCGCCACCAGGGAGGGCCCTCATCTTAACTTTTTATCTCTATCATATGTGCATAACATGGCCCTATAAAAATAGTTTTGGAGTTTCTTAAGTGAATTTTCTCAAGTATTTCAAACTAGTTACCTTCTAAGAACCTCTGAAGTCCCAGGATTTTTGTATGTGACAAATGTCATAAGTGGCTCTGTCTCCTACATGGAAAAATGGGGCACCACACTTCTGGAAGTGTGGTGAAGACACTGCTTCTGAGTTTTGCTAGAGATACAATGAGCACTGAAGAATCAGAGTGAATTAAGGTGGACTTATCAAACATTTATAAAGCGAACGAACTGATGGTGCTGGCTTAAGGTCATTAAATTGAAAAAATGAAACAAGGCTTCCATGGATGTCAAAACAGAAATTTATTCATAAAATATATAAAAATATTTGAAAAAATAAGGCTACAACTCCCTCCCCACAATATCGTACATCTCAGTATTAACCACAGTCAACAACCAAGTCTCAATCTGTTGTTTTTTAAGTAAAAAGGTCTTTTTAATTCAGAGTATTTCATTTATGAATGAATTAAACTGCTGATGATGTTACACAAATCTAGTATTTTATAAAGTAAGGTTCTTAGAAGAAACTTACTGATACTGAAATCTCTCCAAATATATTTTTGAAGGTTAATTCCCAGAGGTCTTAATGGTAAATCATATAAAACTAAACTGAGTGACCCCATACTTCAGCAATGCAAACACTGAAATGCTACACCAGTGTGATGATAAGATATAAAACTTGGGGATGCCAAGCAAACTTGAAATATGTTAAATATAGACAAGTATCAACTTTTCATTAGAAACAAACAGGAGGAAAGGAACAGAGTGGGCCTGGGAAATGGTGATGCCCCATGCACAGCAGCAAGCCTGTGTCCAGCACAAACAAGTTCATACAAACATGGAGCTTGGCTTTCCCCCCAGAGAGAAGCCAGTCCACAAGTTTGCACTGAGGCCTTTTTTTCATCAGTCACATCCAACTTTGTTCAACAAGGGTCAAAGGATCCCAGAACATGGTTTAAATTCTGAGTGTGTACTCTAGAAGGTTTTCAGTCCAAAATCTTCAGGTCACATTTTATGGAGTTTTGTAATAATCAGTACTCTTACCATTTGATCAAATGAACTGCAGATGCAGAGACCCCTTTTATCTGGACTCCAGTCCAAACTTGAAATGGGCTGGGTGGACAATGTAACATTCTGCAGAAGGCTGACAGAACCAGCAACTCCCATCTCTACTCCTTCAGAATCTTTCTTGGACCGCTGAGCAGGGTATTCACTGAAAACAAAAGCACAGCGATGAGAAGAGATAAAGTCTCAGCAGTCCCCATTTTACTTTCACACATACTCCAATACCTTTGTTTCTCAGTTGATTGCTGGAACTGAAAACACTTAAAGAATCTAATGTTGAAGTGTATGCTGAGACACTATTTATTTCAACTTTAATTCCCTCCCCTCAAAATCTCATATCAAAGGGTTATTATTAGTTCTATTAAAATTTTCAGTAACGTTTCTGTTCAGCTTTCTGTTGCTCTTTTAACATTAAAGTTCCAGCTTAATCTAGCTTTCTTTGATACATTTCCACAGTGTTCTGGATACATTTTTATTATAATTTTTCTCTGGATTCAAATTGCTAGATGCTAGGGCAAACCGTATGTGCAGAGCAGTAAGCAGCATTTGTAGAACCTCACCTGAACAATTCCAAAATGGATCACTGATACAGGACAGGGTACTATTCTCACAGCTTCACTATATAGATCCAACCCTAAGGACCTTCTGTGTACCATTTCTATGGGCAGATCCTGCACTGTTTAAAGAAATACAAGATGACACAAAGAAATGGAAAGATATTCCCTACTCATGTATTGGAAGACTTAACACTGTGAACTGGCCATTTTACCAAAGCAATATACAGATTCAATGTAGTCCCTATCAAAGTTTCAACGACATTCTTTAATGAAACAGAACATTGTTGAAATTTATATAGAACCACAGAAGACCCCCAAGAATAGCCAAAGCAATTCTGATCCCAAAAAAGGAAGAACAGTAGCATCATATGCCCAGACTTCAAACTATACCACAAATCTACAGAATCAAAAGAATAAAATCAGACACACAGAACCCAATGGAATACAACTGAGGGCTTAGAAAACAACCCACACTTACATGGGCAGTTCATCCATGACAAAGAAGTTAAGATTATACATCAAAAAAAGGAAAGTATCTTTATCAAATGGCCTTGGGAAAATTGAACAGCCACAAACAAAATAATGAAACTAGACATATTCCACATACAAAAACTAACTCAAAATGGATTAAAGAGCTGGTGTAAAACCTGAAATCATAAAATACATAGACAAAAACAGGCAAACAATGCCAAGAAATTTTAGGCCTAAACCCCACTGCTTCAACAAAGAAAAAAGCAATTCCAACAACATTGGATTTTCTTCCAGTTAAAAAATAAGTTTATAAAATATTTTAGGAAGAGCCAAAAATTTAATAACTCATAAATACTATATGGTCTGGATTTGAAAGACTGGTAAGAGAAACACTCCTTCCCCTAACATGTGTTTTCAGTGAAATACAGAGGAACTTCTAACAGAAGGTCTTGTAAAGCCTACTAGGTATTAGTGATACTACCTTGATTCATAAATACTAAAATTAGCCAAAAATATCCAATGTGAAAAGATCTATATATACTTAAGTTCACAGCTACACTATTTACAATTGCCAAATCATAGAACTAACCAAAGTGCCCTTCAACAGATGAATGAATAAAGAGTGGAACATACTGACATATTGATGGAATATCACACAGCTACTTAAAAAGATATACCAATGGCACTTGGGACAAAATAGATGGTGCTCTGAGGTGATTATATTGAGTGAAATCAGTCAAAAAGTGAGACATATTTCAGATAATTTCACTGAAAATTAATTAATAATTGGAATATTAATACCAAAAAAACCAATGGGTGACAGTATCAGGAAAGAGAAATTCCAAATGATCTTTCTCTGGGGCTTCTAACAGCACTCTTCAAGTTCTCCCTCTACTCTTTGAGTAAAACTAAGAGTGACAAGTGTTTCTAATTGTGGCTCTACTTTTCAGTACCCCTTCTTATTTCTAAAAGAAACCAAGAAATAGAGAAGTATTTTGCAAATGTGAAAATCCTACACCTGTTACATTATTTATTTTCATTTTTTAAATACCTTTCATTTATGGGCTTGTGTTGATTTGCTTAACAATCTTTTTTCTTGAATCATGGTTAGAGAAAGAAACCATTAACTTCCAACTTTTATCAGAGCTTTTCAGTAAGTAGCTGACCTTCCACCAGAGGGCCCTTAATATTTAGAGCACTGTGCCCAGCAACAGATGCAAAGACAAGGTCTTTCTTGGAGACAAGTCAGGGACATGCTCTCTGGGTTGATTCTATCACAATGATGTTGTTTGACCTTGGGAAAGTGAATTATCAGATTCTAAAACTAAGAATTCTCATTCTTTTCCTGTCTTCTAGAGGAAGTGTTTCAATGAACAGAAAACTGTATTTGATTAAAGTCTTTGGTCGAATTTTTCATACTAAAAATAATAAACTAGCAAAAACCAAGATATCAGCCTATGAAAATAACTATTCCTGAGTTATTCCAGTAGATACAAGACACAGTTATATTAAAAAATATATTTAAGTATGTCAAAAGAAGTTTGATATTTACTAAGTAGAAAATAAGCACATCAGTGAAATGCTGAGAAAATATCACTTATGTAATACCATGAAATTTAAAATCATTTCAAAATGAACTAAGTCAAAGGAGGAAAAACGACAATAAAAAAAGTTCAAGCTAATCCTACTTTACGCCCACAAGTAACTTAAAAAGGAGCAATGTGCACTGGGAGACTTACTACTTCCAGAGGTGAAGGCTGCCGGCGCCCCCAGCTGTCAGAAAGAGCTCTCTGTTCTGGGGCAGATGTCGGACCTGCCACACAGTAGATTTATGAGCCTAAGCAGAATGAGAAGTACACAAACGGTTTACAATGGACGAATAAAGACTTCCCCAGAAACAAAAACCCTATAATTAAAGAGCGTTCACTTCTATAATTTCAACACATCTTATGAAAGTAATTACTTTCTGGTCTATCTTTTTATAATTACTGAGAAGCACATCAGAAATTAGGTAAAGCATCCTAGTTTCTTTTGAAACAAAGTTCTCCTGACAAAAATGGTATTAGGTTACAAAGTCCATTTTTATTTGCAATACCAAATAAATTAAAGTTTCTTGAGCCTTAATTTTAATGCATCAGCATTTGACTTGTCTTCAAAATAAGGACCATGAGGATATATATGGTCAGCTATAATAATAAACCAGGACCTTTATCAGCAGTATTAAACTAAAAGATAAAAACCAGCCACTGGAAGGTTAATAGCTTTTGTTAGCATCTTAACAACAGCCAGTAAATCAATGCCAACAGCGTTATATTCACTGTGGAGAATTGAAGGAAGACAGACAGGCAGAGAGAGGAGGAAGGGCGGGAGGAACACGAAAGCAGAGACTGAAAGACTTAATATAAGCCACATTTAGACACTTCACATTTTAGTGAATGATTAGTTCTGACATTTGATTTTAACAGTCTTTTAAAAGAATTACCGCCATCAGATAAAACACAACATCTGAAAATGTACATTTTCTAAAGTGTGTTAGAGTCTTCAAAGCGATTAGGTTCAAGTTGCTGAAACTTATTTTAGTTTGTTGCTTAAGCTATTCTTCTTTTTCTAGAAGTTGATAAAAACATAAAATCCAAGAGGGGAGATAACTTCAAAATATATCAGACACACCTAACAACTCCTGGATTAACTACATATAACCAAAAAATTTTGGAGCCCAAACTACAATTTGCAGAATGAAAAATGTATTACAATTCACTTACATGTATTACAATTATATATATATACAAATTTACAATTTAGTAAAGTGCTTTATATTGTTGAAAAATATTAAATAGTCTAAAATGACAAAGACAAAAATATTCAATAATATTGCAATGTGTAATTATTCTGTAAAGAATTCAGTACATCAGGCAATGACATTAATTTACATAAATAATAATGATTATTGTTAAGACATAATGTGAAGGCTTGAGGCATGCTAATGGATCTGTGGTAGAGGGAAAATGAGCATGGAAGTGAATTTTTATTTATTTAACAACTTACACATTTTAATCTTAGGGAAGCTACAAATCTATAGCTGATATTAATTTATTTTTACACTTTACAAAGCTCAGAGTCATCTTTCTAACCCAGCTCTTGCAAATGACAGGATATTTCAGCATAAATTTTAAGCAATCCCCTTACTCAGACATATTTTTTTTTAAATGAGGATTTTCCTTTTCTTTGCTTTCTTTGTCTATTTTTATGATGCTATAATACCATAAATTTCCCTAACTGACCTCAAATACTATCAGGAATAGACAAAGTAAATATATCTCTTATCTCTATCTATTTACCTATATATCTAGGGATGAATGAATATTTTTGAGTATGTACTAACCACAGTGCTTTTAAGTGAGTGTGTACTAATCACTAATGCTTTAAATAGTTTCATTTAATATCACAAGCTAGAATGCAAAATGTGATGAAATGACATGATATATATGAGATATTTTGAAAGGGAGGTAAGTAGGTATTAACAGAAATAAATATTTATTAGAAAACATTAGGGTAGATTTTGTTGATCAAACTCCTAACATCAGCTATTTTTCATGTGACTGCTCCTAAGCCACAATTAAAATTCCTAGCCAAATGAGGTCTTTATTATAATCAAGGAGTCTAAAATTGATAAGTTTTGGGAAAGTACTCTTTGTACAGAAAAACTTGTCAAGACTCCACAAGAATAAATTAAAAATAGCTCCCTTCATAGAAACACCTAGAAGGTACCGTGGTGACTAATTCTATTTATTAGTCTAAAGCAAGCTATTAACAGTCTTCTTCATAGAAAGACATTTCCTTCATATTTACCTTTTCTGAAACAGAGGCAAAACCTTTGGTTGGATGTTGTGTTCTCATGTCAAAAACATGAAATTTACCTTCCAGAGATGTAGCTACTAATTTATTCATACTGATGTCTTTTCTGTCAAACTCCAAGCTACATACCTGAAAAGAGAGAATATTTATTACTGATGGTTTAACAATTATTTTACAGGAGGTTCTTTTAAATTAAGTAAAACAATGCCACAATTATCAGCTCATGTAAAAGCAAAAACTTAAACAATCATTTAACTTTTGAACCAATCTATCAAATACTTTCAATTATAAAACATTTGTTTAATGAAATTAACAAAACCAACTTGCATTCCCTTGTCCATAGATAAATTCAGAAAGCTGCAATTTCATTTTTATATACATAATTATTTTATACACTTGAGGTTAACTTTACTTAATTTAAAATTGTTTTTACTTATTTATACATACAACAGCTGTGGTTAGGCCAGAGGTGTTGGTGTGAAGGGAGGGTAATAAGAGGATTCACCAGAGACAGAATGAGGGGCAGAACAGGAGGAGCTACTGAAATACACACGCAGCAAGCAAGAGAGGAGAGGTCTACTGCGTCATGTGGGTCAGCTCCCTGGCTGGGGATCAAAATCATGCTGCAATGGCTTGCGACAACTTGACAGCACTGAGACTTTGACCCCCATACCAACAGGGAGGCCCTAAGATTAACTTTATTAAAGAGGAGGAACTATATTCTTTATTGAAGGTATACAAGAACCACAAATCTGAAAGTACCAGGGTATATGTTCACTTTCTAAAAAGAGAATCCCTGATCTTTATTATAATCTCAAAACACAATCCAAAGGTTAAGAGCCAGAGGCAGAAGGGCTGTACAGAGGTGAGTTAATAGAGATAGAGGTGCTTTCTTTTTGTGATGGTTCAGAGATGGAAGAAAACATACTCAGAGACACTAAAAGGAATCCCAATAGACATTACCCCATTTTTAATGTTTGTCTCCCAACGCAATGACATATTTTTGAGATCAAATAGTTTGATATCCCCGTTGTCATAGCCAGCACAAACAACACGTTCCTCTTGATTATAAGCATTGCCTGAAAACCAACATACAACATTTCAGATCTTTGTAAATGCTAATTTGAAGGTAGCTAGAAAAAAAAATCTTAAGAAACCACACATATATCTTATACCAAATCAGATAACGATATCACATTGGGTAGACTCTCACTTTACCAATCCCAACAGTTATTTTGCAATATAGTATACTGTTGTTATCTCATTTTGGTAAGGAAACCTGAAATAATTTGTAGTACACTATGTTTAAAGTCATCCTGCTTGGATCTTGAGATTTATTTGGAGAACTTCTTGCTAAGAAAAATATGCTGAGAGAGGCCTTTATAACACTGCTAGATTCTCTTGTCACCTTATGCTATAGCTTTTGCTCACTGTCCCCAATGCCTTTTTCCCATAAACCCCAGTCCTGCATTTCCACTGTGGGCTCCCTCTGGACAATACACTGTATCTTAAACTTCTGATGTCCAAAATTGATCCCACTATCTTTCTTACTGCCCATAACGAATCATAATGCCCCACGTGGAACTTTTTCAGCTTAAAACACCATCTGTCCCACAATCAATTTCAAAATGCTACTATCATGGACATATTCCTACCTTTGTTCCCTTTGCTTAAAAACTGCCAAATTCTATTTATTGTGCCACAATAATTACCTTCTGATTCACCCCCCTCTGCCCCAGTCTCATTGTTTCTAATCTCCCCTGGGATACTGGCAAAGCTTCAGAATCATATTCCTTCTGCTACTCATCTTTCCTATTATATGCCACCAGTTTAATTTTTCTAAAGCTATGATCCTATTTTATTTTTACAAAACTTTCGAAGGTTTACCACTATCTCCAAACCATCTGGCCATGGCCCTGCGCCATCTCTAAGGCAATTCCTACTGCTACTTCCTTCTAAAGACTTTCTTGGACATTTTTCAACCAGTCCTTATGCTTGAAATTTCCTATTTTCCGTAGTTCTAATCCTATAAATTCTTGGTCTAAGGTCAAAATGTTCTTCCTTCCCAGTCATCTCTCCTTGTATTTACCCATGCTTCTTGTGATTTTTTTTTAATCACTCCTTCATTGTACCATAATTATGTAAATAGCACGCCTTCTTTACTAAACTATAAGCTTCTTGAAGCTAGAACATGAGTCTGATTCATTGTTGCCTGCCCACAGTACTTTTCACATATTTGACAGTCATAAAAAATAGTCAAATCAACACATCATTTTTAAAAAAAATTTACTGCCTTACATTGAAAACTGTCTTTATGTCTACTAGGTCAAAGATAAAAAGATATTAGTGGACCCAAAGGCAATAACCTTCTCATTATTTTATCAATTTTTTAAAGATTTATTTTATTTATTTATGCATACAAGAGTTTGGGTGTAGGCCAAAGGTATGGGTGAGTGGTGATAAGATTCACCAGAGACAGAGTGGGGAGCAGAACAGTGGGGAAATACACTGCTGAGGGTAGCAGTGGGCAAGACAGGAGAGGTCTGCTGTGCCACGTGGGTTAGCTCCCTGACTGGGGAACTGAACTCAAGCCACAGTAGCTGGCGATAGCTTTGATGGCGCTGAACTTGACCCGTGCGCTACCAGGGAGACCCTACTTTATCAATTTTTAGATGATTCTAAACACTATCTTTAAATTTCTCCAAGGTAAGTTTGTATATATTGTTCATAACATAAAAACACAAGTAATTCCCATCCAATAATTTATTTTTAAACTGGAAATAATTTATTTTAAACTGGAAATTGAAAACATTCCTCTGATTAAGTAACACTTCAATTTTAAAATATGAAAAGTTAAACAGTTCACATATATATATATATATATATAGCTAAATCCTACTTTAATGCCTGTTATTTACATAAGATTATACTTTTTAAAAAAGAAGGGTAAGAAAGATTTAAGATATGATATGTATTCTCTAGTAACAAAATTATTTTAATTTTGCAATGACCAATTAGTCCTACAAAGTCACTATTCATTTTACGCATTGCAGTTACCAATTTGTAAGAAATAATTTTGTAATGGCCATAACCATTTTCTAGATAATACACATAAACTTTGTAGAGTATAATGTAAGCTTTGTTAGGTGACCCTTTGCATTTGAAGCTCTGCTCAGATCCACTAATAGTATTTGGTTCCAAAGTAGGTTAACATCATCTAGTTACGGAGAAGTACACACTAATATCAAATATTTTTGAGCACTTAATAATCTAAGCATAATCCTAAACAAGTGCTAATTACTGAATCTTCAAAATAACACTAGTAGTTCTATTACTAGCTATTCCATCTTATAGAATTGGCATTATTTGTTTCTCTTTATAAACAAAGCAGTCAAGGAACAGAGAGGTAAGGTCAGAGAGTCAATAAGTAGTACAATGAGGAATTAAATCCAGGTCCCTGAGACTGACATCAACTGTTATGCTTATCTGTCTCAGTAAACTGTCAGAATAATACACAGAACAGTCTATAAAGAAACTCTTGGTCTTGACTTTATCATCTGATCTGTTTAGTGCATGATCTGATCTATTTAGTGCATGAGTTCTTCAATAATTTACCAAATGCCACGGTCCAACAGTCTCTCTTGTTTTCTCCTTGTATAGGCTCCATATTAGCAACAGGATCATCTTTTTGCCTAGGGTCCCACACCTTCACAGTTCCTATCACAAATAAAAGTAAGTTGGTAAAATGTCAGTAAGAATGATGGCATTCTTGTCTCCATTCTCCTCTCATGGCTTTTTGTGTATATGGTGATATTACAGATATTAAAAGAGCTGAAAAATATTCACATTTTACTGATTTCTATTTGGACAAGTTGCAGTTAGTATCAGAAACATACCCATATGTTGCTATCTGACTTTACAAATTAATATATACCAAAAAAGCCCCACTGTTTCTGAATTATCAACAAGAAATTAGTGACAAGAAAAACAGAAATGATGTGTAATGCAAGCCATGTCTTGTTTTGTTTGAGCCTAAAACTAGTGTTTTTATTTGGAATAACACCAGCATCACTTCAATTTTAATTTTTTCCCATACAAGCCATATATTTTTCTTAGACAAATGAATAAACTCTAATTTTTACATCTATGGCTTCTTAGATGTGGTTTTAGAATACTATTTCATACAATTAAGTTTAATTTCCCTTGGCAACAGAGAAGAGGGAAATATTAACAAATAATTCTTCTCAATTGAATTCCAACCCTCTCATTTTAATGCAAATTACAGGACTACTAACTAAATGGTGTCACTGCCAAGAAGAAATGCAAATGCATGTAATAAAATGGCTAAAAGGCAAGAACAGGAGAAAGAACAGGGAAAGGGCAAAAAAAAAATCTCTGAAAAGGATAATAAACTCAAGAAAATTGAGCTATCTCACTAGATTTAACTCCAAGAATAAAATTGAATTGGTTACTTAAAACGTTGCTTTAAAGAGAATAAAATATCCCACAAATGTGACAAGAGGTTATTCTATTACTCTAAAGGAGTCATACAAATTGATAAGATTCACATTATAAAAAGTTTGTAAGAGTTAAATGTGCAAAGAATACAAACTGATAATTGAGAGCAAAATTAACTAGAACATGAATATGGAAAAAAGTGCCCACAAATTGAAATGAAGTGCCACTTTCATTTATTAAATTATGGGAAAAAGGGAAGAATCAATGCTGGTGTAATGGTTGGAAATCAACCTCATCTCTTATAGCTGACAATGTAAATAAGTACTTTGGGAAGTTTGACAATTTTAAAATTCAACAATGAATGATGACATTTGATTGTTACTATGGTAAACACAGTATTATGTATATTTTATTGTGCATATTATATAATATTAATATAGCATTATGATCAACATAAAATATGATTTTTCCAAAGAAATTATTATATATGACATTCATTTCTTCATTATTTTTTAAGTCACTCTCCCAAAATAATAAAGAAAAACTTACAGCAAATTGAATGCTCATTATCTTGGTCATGATTAAAGATAGTGCAACACATTCTTAGGATGGAATATTATATAGTTATTTAGTTTATTTTGCTAGTTATTCAATGACTGTTCAACACCATAAGGAGACTGTTTTCAAAGAAAAGCCCAAGCTATGGTCTATGTCTGTGTTACCCAAAACATTTGAACAAAAATGTACAAATAAGAACAGTGGTTAACAGAAAGGTGATAGAAGCTGGAGAAGGAGAATGCCTCAAAGAGCTGCTGAGAGCTTACACAGTAATAGTATATAAACTGGAAAGGAAAAAATTCAATTGGTGGGGGGAAGCCCATGTAGACTACAACTGAGATGGAAAATGTAAAAAAATGAAGAATGATGTACTAAATAAAAGAAAAAAAAAAAGAAAAAATTCTGGTCAGGCTAGTATAGAAGATAAAATGTTAGTTTTCATTCTATATTACATACTGCTTTTATGACTGAAATTATGAGATTCATTTCTTCAATAGTTTTATGATTATATGTTGAAAAATTTATTTCTAAAAGCCACTCAAGTATCTATTAGAAAATTATATCTGCCTTTCCTTTTTCTCATTCATGAGCTAATTATTAAAAAATTACATTATAGAAAATCAATACAATGTAAATACATCATTACTGAAAAATGTATACTATACAAAAAAGGATTTTATTTTGGAAAATGATCCCTAGTTTTTAGAAATAAAACCATAAAACGTTATAATCTAATTTAATCTTAAAGGCTGGCATGTTACACAAGGAATGTTATTTTTTGCTGAAGCTCCTTCTTAATACTGTCAGATACCAGGGCTCTGCCTTTCAGTGTGATTTCAGTCACCAAGTCATCGACAGTAATATATTCTAATCTCTTTTCTTTAACTACACCTCTTTACAGTGTGCCTTCAATTTATCTTTCTAGCCACATTAAATTGTTTTATCTCTCACCAACTCTTTGAGACATTCTCTCTCTCTAGTTTCAACTTGCTGTTAATCACTTCTCATTTGTGCATCCTGGTTCACTCGTGGGCCCACTCTAAGACCCTCAGTTTTTTAGGTACCTATATACCATCTTACTTTTCTTTTGAAACAATTTCCTCATGGTCTTGGGCAGTCATTAGAAAAATAGCACATCAGGGCCCTCCCTGTTGGCGCAGGGGGCTAAAGCACAGCACTAAGAAGCTAAAGCCACTTCCACATGAATTTGATCCCCTGGAGATGACCCACATGGCGGCAGACCTCTCCTGACCCGCCTGCTGCTCCCCTCAGCAGTGTACTTTGTCAGTCGGCCTGTTCTGCTCCCCACTGTCTCTGGTGAATCTTCTCACCACCCCTGCACCTCTGGCCTGTACCCCAGTTCTGTTATGTATAAAAAAAATTTAAAAAAAAAGTAGCACATCAACTAAATAATCTATCCATCATGAAGCAACACAATTCTGATTACAATCATTCGGGACACTCTGGTACCAAAGGCCTGCCCACTGGTAGTCACTGCGTGGTGGAAAAGGAGTGCCAGTGCCCTTGGGGCTTCCTCAATGCTACGTGGAAGGATCACAGAACTTCAGTTTTCAGCCAGCTGTCAATATGACAGTTTATACAAGTACTAATCCTGCTTTTTAAAAAAAGAAAATGAAATGCTGCCACCCACATTATATCATCAGCTGCCTCAAAACCCTGTAAAGAAATCTGGAATCCTTCAAGGTTCATAAAAAACTATGGTTCTTAGTACTTGAACTAACTCAAACTAAAACAGTAAGATCTATACCTCTTTCTCTCAATACCCAAAAGTCTCAAATAACTGAGGGATATACAATCAAATCTGATGGTCAAAAAAGGAGAATGGAGCCTTCCTGGTGGTGCAGGGGTTAAGCCGACTCAGCACTATCAAGCTATTGCCAGCCACTGTGGCAGGAGTTTGATCCCCAGCCAGGGAGCTACCCCATGGTGCAGCAGACCTCTTCTGTCTTGCTCCCCTCAGCAATAGATTTCAGTAGATCCACCTGTTCTGCTCCCCACTGTCTCTGGTGAATCCTCTTACCCCTAGCACCTCTAGCCTATACCCCAGTTCTTGTATGCATAAATAAATGAAACTTTGAAAAAAAACGAGGCAAATGTTAAGGGGTATCAAGAATATCAAGGAAGATTTTCAAGAGAGAGGATATACTGTTTAATAGAGATTTAACTTTAAAAAAATTAAAATACACAGAATGACTTACCATCTCGGCTGCCAGTAACAATTTCAGGTGCTCCTTCCCCAATTCCAAGTCCACCCACACCATCTATAGTATTTATAATTTCTTTATGGCCCTTCACAGAATATACTGGGATTTCTGGAGCTTCCAAATTCCTAAACAACAGATTAGATGTCAGCTAAATCATTAGGAAATAAAAAATGAAAACCACTAATTTTAAATGCATTGGGAGTTTAGATTAAAAAATTAAAAAGGGCCCTCCCTGGTGACGCAGCGGGTTAAAGCATAGCACTGAGAAGCTAAAACCACTTTTGCAAGAGTTCGATCCCCGACTGCCCCAGAGGTGACCCACATGGCGCGGCAGACCTCTCCTGACTCGTGGGCTGCTCCCCTCAGCAGTGTACTCCGTCAATCTACCTGTACTGCTCCCCACTCTGTCTCTGGTGAACTTCTCACTGCCCCTGCACCTCTGGTCTATATCCCAGCTCTGTATGCATAGATAAATAAATCTTTAAAAAAAAAAAAAAGAAAATTAAAGAAAACAAAAATTCAATGTTGTCATTATCTAACTCAACTGACTTGTTGGCATATAAACAAAATAAAAAATTTTCTGATTTTTTCTAATTTTTCTGTAACACATTGCATTTTTAAAAGTGGAAGGGAAGGAATAGCCCTTTATTTACAAATTTAGAATGTTAAATGCTAGCATAAACAGCATGTATGGAAGTAAATATTGTTATTAGTCAAAAAAAAAAAAAAAAAGCCTACCACAAAAACAAAAGGGTAACCTATCCTGGGAGAAGGTATTTGCCCATTGCATGTCCAACAATGGGTTAATTTCCAAAATATATAAAGTACTATAATTCACCAATAAAAACACAAATATGCCAATCAAAAAATGGGCAAAAGGTCTAAAGATACTTATAAAAATAAGACATACCAGATGGCCAATGACATATGAACACATTTAATATCACAAATTATAAGAGAAATGTAAATCAAAACCACAATGAGATACCACCTCACATCTGTGAGAGTATGTCCATAAAAAGACTGGAAACAACAAATGCTGATGTGGATGTACAGAAAAAGAAACACTCATTCGCTATTTGTGAGAATGTAAGCTAGCACAGCCTCTAAGGAAACTAGTATGGAGATATCTTAGAAAATAATATGGGCCCTCCCTCGTGGCGCAGCAGGTTAAAGCACAGCACTAAGAAGTTTAGCCACTTCCGCATGAGTTCGATTCCCGCCTGCCCTGGAGGAGATCCACATGGCGTGGCAGACCTCTCCTGGCCTGCCCGCTGCTCCCCTCAGCAGTGTACTTTGTCGATCTGCCTGTTCTGCTCCCCCCTCTGTCTCTGGTGAATTCTCTCACCCTCCGCATCTCTGGCTTGTACCCCAGTTCTGTATGAGTAAATAAATAAATCTTTAAAAAAAAAAGAAAATAACACATTGGCCCTCCCTGGTGCCACAGTAGGTAAAAGCACAGCACTAAGAAGCTAAAGCCACTTCAGCATGAGTTTGATCCCGGGCCCGGAGGTGACTGACATGGTGTGGCAGACCTCTCCTGATCCACCTGCTGCTGCCCTTAGCAGTGTACTTCATCAGTCGGCCTGTTCTGTTCCCCACTCTCTCTGGTGAATCCTCTCACCACTCCTGCACCTCTGACCTGCACCCCAGTTCTGTATGCATAAATAAATAAATCTTTAAAAAAAATATGGAAATACTATATAATTCACTGGTATAATTCCTACTTATTTATCCAAAGAATATGAAATAAATAAATAAAACTGTGAAAAGTTTTATGTACACTTATGTTCACAGCAGCATTTTTCACAATGACCAAGTGATGGAACGCTGTAACCTATGCCAGCAGAATAAAGAATTTGTGGCATATGTGCACCTGTGCACACACACACCCACACAGAGGACTATTATACAGCTATTCAAAAGAAAGAATCAACTGTCTCTCACTTTTTGGTCTAAGATCAAATATAAAAGACGAAATAGTGCCTTTTGGGATAAAATGGAAAGATCTTGAGATGACAGAGTGAAAGTTACTGGACAGTTTTATTCATCTGTGAATTACAAATAATCCAAGAGGGAAAAAATTGGCAAAACAACTCTAGATTCTAAAAAGATATGATATTTACAAGAGGAAGTTGGGGGGAGGGGATAAATGTGATAGCATACTGGCATTGGGGCTTTAGGAGTATGAGTGAAGTACATGGACATGTTAAGGTGTGAAATTATACTCCCCAAATTTATATGATTGACTAGCAAATCAATAAAATTTGATTTCAAAATCTAAAAATGGTTAGTATTTAAAAATAGAATTTGATTAATGAAACCTAGATACATGCATTAAAAGATTACCTTGACATTTTTATAAATATAAATTGTTAAAATTGAACAAGAAACATTTTAAAATTAGAATTCTCTCCTACAGAGGAAGAGCAATGAGACTATCAAAGAAATTTCTTTTCTCAAATCTTAATACTGATTAAATAATCTTACCATATATGAAGGTTTCCATCAAAATCTCCAGTAGCTAAATATCTCTGCTGTAAAGATGCTGCACCAAATGTTCCACACTTAATGGGTTTGGCCTTTTCAATCTTGATAGAAAGAAGGGAAAGAAGATACATTATTTATGTAAGCAGCTATTTATAATCTGTGATATTTATGGCTTAATTATGGGATTTTAAATATAGTATAAAGCACTACTAAAATGTTTTTCAATAAAAATCATCATTCTTTCCCTTCAGTAATTTTTCTATAGTTTAAAAGCATGGATCTGTCAGAAAGAATGCATTTAATTTGCCTTTCTTCTCATCTCACCTTAAATAAGACACTTAAATGCTGACAAACCTATCATTTCCACAGGTTTACATACATGAAAATTTCAGCAAAGTGGCATTCTTGCTAGATATGAGAGCGTAGAAAAGATATTCTTTCAATGTTTACAAGAACAATGTTTATATGACTCCTATAGCTTTCCCTAAAGAACCCCATACTAAAAAAGTTTTTTCCCTATTCTCTCTGGGGACATTTCAATGCTTGGAGATTGTATATCTGTGTGTATCAAAGGCATTGGTATTAGTATGGATCAGCCAATCTTTTGAGGTTTTTTTTCTTCCATATAAAGGTACTATATATAAACACATTCGTATTAATAAAAGAAGCATACACTAATGCACTATTTAAGGTATAAGTGGCTGACAGAAATCACTGGAGACCATCATAGACCATGAGACTATAGCCTAGAGCTTTACACATTTGTCCAATTCAAACATTCAACATTAATGAGTTTGCTATGATATGTAAGTCAATGAACTAGGTATAAGAAGATGGAAAGACAAATAAGAGTAGCCATGACCTCAACGAATTTACAACCCAAGTATCCGTTCCTATTTAACCCCTCCCACACACCCACCTGCAGCATACTCTTACCTACTCCTCTGTCTCTAATTACTTCTTGTGGTGTAACAATCAGACTATATATAATAGAGTCAGGTTATTTTACTGAAAAATGTCTTCCTTATATAGAAAAAGCTAATCCAATATTTCATGGTGCTCCAAAAACAGCATCACCATACAGATATTCTGACATCTGAGCATATCTGAATTCCCTGACTTCAGGAAACCAAACTGAAAACCACACTATGACATGATAGGCCCTGTCATACTCTCACTTTTATTATTTTCCCACGGTGTGTGTGTATTTTAGCAAAGGGCAAAAACTCTACAATATGAATTATAATAAAATAAATGTATCCACATTTAGAGACACAGACTCCCAAGAACAGCATGGAAGGTCAATCTATGACCTTTCCTGCTTTATCCTCTTCTCTCTACTACCCTCCAGCTACACCTGCAGCCTTCTTTTCCTTCTTCAAACACTGAGAAGACATTTCCACACTGGGGAATTTGCATTTACTATTCCCTTTGCTCTTCCCTCAGATGAACCTCATCTCTTCCTTCTCTCAGCTCATATTACAGTTCAAATATCACCTCCTTTCAGAAGCCTGTTGGTCCTGCCAAGCAGAAGCAACACCCCGAAATCACTAGCACTTACACTGTTAAATCTTCATTGCACTTATATCAGCATAATTATTTTATTAATTCAATTTTCTACCGCTTCCCTTTACGAATGTGAGCACTCTATGAGAGCGGATCCTTGTCTTAATTTGTTCAATACTTGGTAGGTGTTCTACATTTGTGGAGCAAAAATGTAAGTGCACACCTAATTCGTTTCTCGTTGCTAGTGCTGGAGAAACCACTGGCAGAGTTTACATTCCAATTTCTCCCACCATGTTTTTCCAATCAACCGCAGGCACATACTGGTTTCAGGTGTCATTTGCATGCGATAATCAAAATGCCATCCATATAGTGAACACCTATAGGTCAGATACTGTGCAAGGGGTTTTTCTAGGCTAAACTACCCTTTCTCTTTGTAACATACACAACTCTGGAGGCTGAGTGTTTGGAATACCCCTATCCAGATGAGGAAAGAGGATCAAAGGGCCAAGAGACCTGCCCAAGAGCCCTAGAGCCAGGTGGACTCCAAGTTCTTTCTACTAAATCAGGCTACCTCCAGGCCTATGTTACCAGTTAAATAAACATTTTATTATGTAGCTCCCATTCTATAAACTTCAGAGCCATGAGAAGTACCCAAGAAATGTTCCAATCGTAAAATGGACTAGTGAGGTAATAGCATAGGCATGGTTTATAGCTACTTTCAGATTTGTGTCCTCTGATTTTTACCCTCATTAATATTTTTAAAGATATAAACAAATATTTATGGTTCTCTCATGCTCTTTTCTCCTTATATCAAAGAACCATAGATTTAAAGATACTAGTGGTCCATTGTACAACAACCAAATTAAACTCAAAATATGTGAACATTTAAAAAGCCTCATAAATAAACAACAGTGCGGGCTGCACTTTCTTCAAAAGGGTTGAGCTATGCTTGCAAATGGACTTATAGAAATAGAGGCATTTTCTCCTTTCTCAGACATTTGTGGAAATGCTAATAGTAGTTAAATTAAGAGGACACTAGAATGAAGCTAATTTTTTTTCTAGTTCAGAAAAGGGCTCCCTTCCTATGTAAAATATTTTACCTTTGAAAAAGAGAAGTTATAAGGAATTCAGAGGTTGCTAAAGTTTTTTTCCTAGAAGAAAATATCTTCTAGAAAACCAACTGGTTATAAAAAAATACTTATTTTGTGAAAGTTGTTCCATTAAGAAAATCAGTACATTAATAATTCTGGCTACATGATACTGAAAATGACCATCAAAAATGGTCAAATTTGACCTAGCTGTTGGTTTTCTGTGCTACACTAAGTTGACATGAATAAAGAAGCCACTATCGATAATTCCAAGAGAGCTATTTTTGTTCTCTCTGTGGGTGGGTCTAGTACAGCTTGTCAGTATTTCCACCTCCACATTCTGGCACTACTTAATTAACATTAAAAGATTTAGTCAACCAAATGTTAGCAAGCAGTGAAGTCAGTGACACAGGGGCTAAAAAAGCAGAACTTTATTAATGTAATGTTAATTTTTAAAATATAAACATCCTTAACTATGATTCTATTTTTCAGGACTACTCCAGACCTTTGTGCCAATTAGAAAAAAGGTATCCCTTTATAAGCTCATGTTCTCCTGCTGGAAGACATAAGATAGGGATTCTAACCGCCAGAGTCCTTGGTCACACCTGTGTGTGAGGCAACTCAATCGCAAGTGGGAGCCCTGCTCCACCCCATCAAGCCTCTTAGAAACAATGTTAGGAAGGCACCAACACAGAGCCACTTGTTTCCTTCCCAGGTTTTTATCTTGGATACACTGACTTGGGGACACAATACTTAGATGCACAATGACAGGATAAAACACTTTTCCTAACACCGTGTTTAATAAATAATTCGGCTATTCCAGTAGTCATCAACCCTGGGACTTGAAGTCACGTGGTAGAAATTTTAAAATACTGACATCTCAGGTTTCACTTCAGTCTAGAGTAAAAGTCCCACTGCATCAGAATTTCTAAGATTTTAAATTTACACAACAATAAAACCCCCTAAACACCCAACAACAAAACACACTTCTGTGATTGTGATGCACAAAAGCTGACTCACTGAACCTATACTTGCCTATATTCGCTTCCAATGTATCATCAGTCCAATACAGTATGAGGTCTTACATGTGTTTTGCATTTAATTTATCCTCACATAAGGCAGTAGGCTCTTTAGGAGAAGGTAAACATCTTTCAATTACCTCTGACCCTTCTTTAGCATAAGACCCTGAAAAAAGAGGTTCTCAATGGTTTATGGTAGAATCAGAAGACTCACGGGATACAGGGAGAATATAAAAAGTGGTTATTCCTAGGGTTGATTATGTGTATGATTATTTTCTTCTTTTTTCCTAAAGATTCTGTGAACATTTCATCGTGAATAATATTTAAGGCAAAATTTTAAGTTTGCTAGAATTATTTAGAATCTGTAAAGAAAAAAAAGAGCACTACTTTGCTTTAAGAAACAAGTATACTGCTGAAATGTACACGAATTATGTAATTCTTATTTTTAAAAAGACACAAGTCTGTAGAGGCTCTCTTGTTGAGTTGGTATCTCTCTCTTTTGATTGGTATCTTTTCCTATTAAGTTTCTTTAGCTTGACAATGTTTCTCATTTGTTCAAACCTATCAACCCAACTGTTCAATCAATGATTAATAAACAAATATCTAAGTTTCCCAAGTTCATCCTTTTACACATATACATTCACCTATTCTTTTAACAAGTCATTTATTGAGTGGCTGTTCCTTACAAACCACAGCTTAGGAATCTGTTCTCGCTCTCCAGGAGCTTACAATTTAATTAGAAATAAGTAGACAGAGGCCCTCCCTGGTGGCGCAGCAGGTTATAGTACAGCACTGCAAGCTAGCTGTAGCTACTTCAGTGCAAGTTCAATCCCTGGGCCAGGAAGTGATCCACATGGCACAGCAGTCCTCTCCTGACCGGTCCACTGCTCCCCTCAGCAATATACTTCGTAGATCGGTTTGTTCTGTTCTCCACTGTCTCTGGTGAATCCTCTCACTGCCCCTATACCTCTGGCAAGTACCCCAGTTCTGTACGCATAAATAAAGAAATCTTTTAACAAATTTAAAAAAGAAGTAAGTGGACAGAATGATTTATCTGTCAGACAGTAAGTACCAACTGAATGCAATATAAAGAAAAGTCACTTTGTGTGAGTTCAGGAAGGACTTCATAAATCAAATAATTTGAACTGGACCTAAGAATAGCAGCAGTAAGTGGGGTCTGAATGGCCAACAGTATAAGGAATGTTGGAAAAAAGAAGTCATGGTTAGATACTCTGAGCAGAGTGCCTGGTGAGAAAGGACAAGACAAACAGCAATCCTAGAATTTCAAAGTGGGATGATGCAGATTATACTTTTACATACCCAATTTCTCAATCTTCCCTGACGTCTACTTTGACGAGTTTGCTTAGGGTTGGGCCCTAAGTACCTGACTATAACTGACTGTTTTCAGGTAACCCAAATCAACACTTTTAAAATAAAAATGTTAGGCAATATCATTCTGCAATTCTTTCATTAAAGACCTTCATAAAATCTGTAAACCTGATGTTGCTGCACCCAGCTTAAAGTCCTTTCCTTAAGAAAAAGCGGCATATATCTTTTAAATTTGCCAGATCTACAGTTCTTTGTTAACGTCTGATTCTGCTTACCCCCGCCTGTTTCTTAAGGGAATAAAACACTCCCCTTGCTGAGCTTCCCAGTATGATGTTTCTGTATGTGCTATTGGGTTTGGAAATCTCTATTTCAAGGTTGGCTTAGTTTTCATTCATCCCAAGTCTGTTTTTATGTTCATAGCAACGTGTTCCTTTATGTTAAAGGAATTCATCCAGGTCTGTATTTATGTATCATTGGTTTGATTACTTAACAGATTCTCCACTAGAAAATAAATTATAAAGTGGGGACATTATCATGTACACGCCTGTAATACCAGACAATAAGCTGATACTTGTGGAAAGAATAGATTGGCAGGTTGCTCTTTCAATTACACTGTAGGTACACTGGAGGCTCTTTTGACTCTGCTTTTTCGAAGAACATTTAACTATCAGGGAACTACTAACAGACCTTCCACAAACAACGGCTTGCTGCCTAGGAAGGCCTTGAATTTAGACACCGTCTTAACTTCTCAGAGATCGCGCGCGGGAACTGCGAGTGGCTGGGGACGGATGAACTAGCACACCGAAGAGGATTCAGGATCGGAACGAGGAGTATTTTTACGTCGAAAGTATTTCTCGGTCTGCGATCAGCGTTGCTAGTCCCGTGCAGTCGAGCTGTGCTTTGGGGAACGTTGGACTTAAGCCTTTAGCAAGAAAAGAATGCGAAGCCCCTCAACCCGACCCACACTCGCATCCCCCAAACAGCAGTCCCAGATCCTCGAACTGGGTAGTATCGACCAGGCACCCACCTCCCGGAGCAGTTTTAGGTCCCCTTGCTGGATCTCGTAGAGCTGAATGACGCCGGTGCCCCGTGCAAAGTTGCCCATGGTCACAAATTTCGCGCTGCACGGCACCCACTTACAATCAAACACCGTGTAGTTGAGGCTCTTCTGGATATGGGCGATAATTTGGGGTTTCTCAAAGGCCGACATATTCCAGCCGATTTCACGTTCGCCAACCGGTAGACCCAAACACAGCCAAAACACTAACGTGGAAACCAAACTCCAAACAGAAAAGACTGTTTGTCCCTCCCGCTTGCCTTACTCGCCCCCGCTGACGCACTAGCAAGTTGGGTTTAGCTGTCTTACGTGATGCCGGTCGTGTACTAAAGTCGCACAAGTCGCTCAGCAACGGTACAAATTCGTTTATCGATTTTACCTACTTCCTATCGCACACTTACAGCTTAGAGAATGCAAAATACTTTAGATACGGATAACGGGAGCAGAGGGGAGACCATAACAATCAGGCATATTTTAGGATGGTCCCCCTCCCTCCGTCCATCAAATCCCACTTCAGGTCCCCTGCGTGGGCTTCCTGGTTAAGGGCTGGGTTGGCGCAGGGGGCGGGGGAGTCGTGCGATGTGCGCCTGCGCCATGCGGCGGCGCACGTGTTCGAGCCGGAAGAGCCGGTGGGGCTGGAAGTCCTGCGGGGGATGGAGACCGAGATGGAGTCACAGAGCGCCGGGGCCGAGGACGGCTTCACCCCGGTCACCCGCAAGAGTGGTCGGCGGGCAAAGAAACGGCAGGCTGAGCAGCTGTCGGCGGCGGGGGAAGGCGGGGACGCTGGACGCATGGACACGGAGGAGGCCCGGCCGGCAAAGAGACCTGTCTTCCCGCCCCTCTCCGGGGACGCTTTCCTGGTACTGTCAGGGACCGTGGAATCGGAATGGGACTGGGACCAGAGTGAGGTCCAGTTGGTAGTTTCTGGGTGAGGTTGAAGATAGAGGAGGGGACTCAACTGAGTTGAGGATCTTAGGAAGCCACTTTTCTAAAGTTAAAGGGAGATTTTTGTAGGTCAGCTGTCATTGTGCAACCCCCCTGCCTCCCGCCTCCATTCCTCCAGATTCCGCTTGAGTTGTGCCTTCTTTTCTCGTAGAGTGGGAAAGAAGAAACAAGGAAAATTCCAGTCCCAGCTAACAGATACACGCCCTTAAAAGAGAACTGGATGAAGATTTTTACTCCAATTGTAGAACATTTGGGACTTCAGATACGCTTTAACTTAAAATCGAGAAACGTGGAAATCAGGGTAAGGAGAATGTCAGTCATTTCCGAATATACTAGGATTTCTCCTACAGGTATGAAAATGTATGAATAGACTTTTCCTTACTAAGACTTAACTTTGTTAAATGTTGTCCCACCCCCAGCTTTCTAATGTAGTGAGTTTGAACTTCTCAAATACCTTCAAAATCTGCAATTGCTAGATTTATTAATCTGCATGATTATTAGCTGTATTCATAAGTTTGGTATGACACAGTACCACACCACTGGATTTGCCCGTAAGTGTATTATGTCAGGATATTTTACTGACCTTATATTACTGATAAGGAGACTTAACTAAGATGTAGATAAGTAACCATGGAACTTGCTCTAGGTCACACGTAGGACTACAACTTGGATCTAGTCTTAAATGTGCCTTTATACAGTCCTGTTACAGTTTAAAATTTGTCAAATGTGGTCTCCACAACTAGATTGTGAGTCAGTGGGAAAGTGGAAATAACAATTTGGAATCAGATTTGTGTTTGGATGTTACCTTTTTCACATTTTAGAACTTTAGTTTTCTCACATGTAAGCCAAAGGAATATCATTTAGAATTCACGATTGTCATGAAGATTAGAACTATAGTATGAAAAGCATCTTTGCAGTGCATGTCATCTTCAGTTATGGGCATTTTTAGAATAATAACAATTTCTGTGATTATTAAATAAACTTTTTGTGGGCAGGATCCCTACTTTAACCATTTTGGGTAGTTAGCACTGGGGTTTTGCTTTTGGAAACATCGCCATATACATGTTTGAAATCAGGAGATTAGATCAGAACAACTAGGGAGATTGCATTTAAGGAGACAAGAGGACCAGCTTGGGTACTGATGGACTGAGAATAGAAGCCTCAGAGTGTGAGCCACTGGGTAATGGCAGAAGAATCCTGCTGTAAATCCCAGACTGAGATCAGTCATTGGCAGTTGCATGGAACTGCTCTACTCGAGAGCTGGGAAACTTTTTTACAAATTGAACATTCCTTGTCCTCCCCCAAAACTTGAGTGTTTAGAGAATATATTGGGGAAGTGTGGTGATGAGGAAAATTATATTAATGAGGAATATCAGTTCTATTATTTATTTTGTTAAAATATTATCTTTTCTGTCCCCTAACTGTGATATGTTTTCTCTTTTTTCTTTAAAAAAAAAAACAAAAAACCACAGACCTGCAAAGAAACCAAGGATGTTAGTGCTCTGACAAAAGCAGCTGATTTTGTGAAAGCCTTTATTCTCGGGTTTCAAGTGGAGGTGAGTGATTTCATGATACATGAAATGGGGGCTCCGTTTATATACTCAAACTATATATAGAAACATGTACTCAATATAAATGTTACAATGGATTGGGCCCTTCTTAAAAGGAATTTTTTCCAAGTTCTACAATGTGTGAATTTTGGCTTAACATTATATTTCAGTATAGAAACATGGTTTTTTATATTATAGGATGCACTCGCCCTCATTAGATTAGATGATCTTTTCCTGGAGTCCTTTGAAATTACAGATGGTGAGTGAATTGTATTATTCTGTGAAATACTATATTTTTGTATTGCTGTCTTTGAATTGTGTGTGACTTTATTTTCCATTAACTTAACATGGCATTCTATAAATTAACATGGCATTCTATTACAATGTTTCAGGCATGCATCACTGAAAATCAGATATTTCTGTATTACATTAAGTTTGACACTAACATTCCAATTCTGTCCTTCATCTTATAGTTTTCTTCTTTGATTTACCCACCCTTGCTTCTTGCTCTCGTTTGATCACAAACTGATCTTATAGTCTAAAAATGTAGTTTGATTTTTTTTTTAATATAGTTCATCTCTGTTTTCTCCATATATCAAGTATGAGTGAAACCATAGACTGTCTTTCTGTGTTTTGTTTTTTTCTTCACTAAGCATAATACCCTCTGGATTTAGCCATATTGCAAATGACAGGATGTCACCTTTTTAATAGCTACTCAAGCTTCTAATAGCATCAGTTGAGGGATCTCATTGGCAACTTTACAAATAAATTTTATTTTATAAACAAAATAAATGTTACTTATGGAAGCAACATTGCTTTGTAATATACGTGTGTATAACATTTGAGCAGTTTTATAGAAAATGTATTTTTTCTGTCTTTTAGTAGAGAGATTGAAAGATTAAACTTTATGTGGAAGTGAGCTATGTACCATAATAGCCTGAGGTCTTGCTTTTCTCACTTAGTTAAGCCCCTAAAGGGAGACCACCTGTCGAGGGCAATAGGAAGAATCGCTGGCAAAGGAGGAAAAACCAAATTCACAATAGAGAATGTGACACGGACGCGGATAGTTTTGGCCGATGTGTAAGTATCTTGTGAATTCTTGTCAAAGTTTATCTTTGACCTTCAGCTGATTTCCAAAAATCATTTGGTTGCCACTAAGTCTTGCTATATGGTTCTAAATGAATATTCATCTCCTTTGAAAGCATGTTAGGTTAACTGAAAAATAATCTCAGAAATTAATAGCATTTTTACCAATTGCCAATGAAGGAAAAGTTTAGAACCACATTGAAAGAAATGACATGACATGAAGATTTAAATAGTATCTCAGGGAAATCTATTGAATCAGTAAGGAAGAGCAAGGAATAGGTGTTTTACATGCCATTGTAAGGCTCTCCTTTAAATTATAATATGTATACACTTACAGGTTTATGTCTACACATATAAGGTAAAGTTCTTTCACAAAAGGAAGGTGCATATTACACAGTGGTTGAAGAACTAAGGAAGAGAAATGAGATGTTCTACAGGCTTAAAATGAGTGCTGGAGTCACACTGGGATTACTCACTCTGAGGTTGAAGCTGCTCCCTTGCCAGGATGGGATTATTGGCAGATGGCTCAGAGATGATATATAATGACAGAAAGTTGGGAAATGAAACAGTTGACTTAAGAGGAAAAGGGATCTGCCTGAAAACTGAATCCAGAAATAATTAAAAATCATCTTATCATTACTATAAACTGAATGCTCATCATTATTTAAAATCTAAATTATAGAGTATTTTTTTAATATTTTAAGGATAACTGTAATATTCTATATTACACTGTAGCTGTCCTTCACGTGAAAGTAGGTGTATATAATGGTGATCATTTATGAGCTGAGCCTACTGTAACAACTGTTGTAATATGATTTACATACCATGTTGAGTTTCTGTTTCGTGGGTTAAATCAGTTTCATCTGTCCTAAGTGTTCAGTGAGTTGTTGGCATATTCTGTAGTCCAATAATCTTCACAGGCCCATCATCTCCAAAGTTCCTTACATGCTTCCATTCCTTTCCCAGGATGATCTAGTTTTAGAAATTCATGTAAATAAAAGTACATAATAGGTAGTCTTCAGCACATGACTTCCTCTTAATTAATTACCATGTCGTCTTGAGTTTGTTTGTTGAGTGTATCTGTCATTACTTGTTAGTGTCCATTACTGTCCATTGTATAGACATACCCTTTGTGTATTTACTCAGAGTTAATGGATTTGGGGGCTTTTGTTCAGGACTATTATGAATAATAAGTTGTTGATTTTTTTTAAATCTCATCTTTAGTATTTTTTTTAACAATTTACTCAAAAATAAAGAAATGTACTATCTTGTATTTTTACTATAAATAGGTTAGTTGGAAATTCCCATGTTCTTCTATTTATATTATGTTTTAGCCACAAGATGCACTACTACGTACTTATAAATTTTGATGAGTTGCTAATGATCTGTCAAGATACAGTGTTATGTGAGCAAGATAAATTAAAAACCATTAGTCCAGAATTATTCAGTGTGTCAAATGAAAAATAAAATTGCTGTGTGTCCTGAGCCAGCTACTGCTCTCTTGCCTTGGTTGGGTTAGTAACAAAACTACTCTGGTTTTATGTAATCTTGCTGTCTTTACTTCCTCATTTTCCATGCTTTAAGAAATTTTATTTTTTATCAATTAGACATAGACCTTGGATTCTCATGACCCACAGTGTGTGTGACATGGGAAAAGAGTGGGGTGTTAAAGAGCAAAATAGACACTTAAGGTTTGGGGGGTGAGGGGCGCAGGACTGATGGCTTACTAGAGCCTCACTGTGGTGCTTACAAGGGTTGTTCTTTGGAGAAAACCTGATTTTGGTATTTTTAGCCTTACTGAGCATAACAGGTTGCCCAGAGAAGTGATCCCATCTTGTTGCTGTCAGAGTTTTGGAGCCGTTATGGACAGTTGGTGGTGTCTCAGCAGTCGGTGCAGATGTTTGGTTGACATCACCATTTTAAACATGGTGCTCCTACTTCAGCTGTACCTTATACCCCTGCTCTGGACACCTGTCTTTTCCTTTCTCTAGCGAGCCACCCCCCCTTTCCTGTAACTGCCAGAGTTATAGGGAGATGGGTGCCAGTTCACATGGAGTAGGGAGAAAATCTGGGGGTTGTTTTGAATAGACTTTTTAACTAATTTTCTGATTTTTAATCGCTTTATCCCAGTTTCAGAAAGAACTGAGCCTATGAGGGGGAGGGTCCTGCTTAATGTTCCCTTTGCCAGTTTTGTTGTCAGCTTATTGACATTTTGGAAGATGGGTTCAAAAAGGCAAAGTGATATATTGTTGATCTTGCTTGAGTCATTCAGCGAGGAATGCCTTTAAAAAGATCAGGATGATCATCTTGAGTATTGAAGAATTTACATAATCTTTAGAAAGTTTCAGTTGAAACCTTAAGATGTTTTAAGTAAGTACAGTATTATTTGCACACCTGGGGGTCACAGTAATCCTGTACCGCCAGTATTTGAGCTTGAAGTTCTGATTTCTTACAAGTTTCTTTCCTTATCTGTAAAATGGAATATCTGCATAGTAAGATTCAAGTGAGAATTAAATGAGAACATGTAAATAAAGTCGTGACACAGCGCTCAACTAGAGTGATCAGAAAACATAAAGGGAAACGAGGAATGGAAAAGACTGGCTAATCTTAAGAGTCATTTTAACACTGTCACACAAACACAAAATTCAGATATAAAGGCACTGTGTATTGGTCACAATTCTTAAGTATCTTAAGCAACTTTGTGTTCATTTTTCTTTAATTTTTGGGGGGGACATCATTCACATACCATAAAATTCTCCCCTTGAAAATGGTTTTTAATATATGTATAGTGTGCGCAGCTGTCACCACCCCCTTTTATTTAGGAATCTTTATCATGACTGTGCAGAGTTTCTGTACTGCAGGGTTTTAAAGACAGGCTTATTTTGTTGCTCACTTGTTTTACTTTATCTCTTGCAGGAAAGTTCACATCCTCGGTTCTTTCCAAAACATCAAGATGGCAAGGACTGCCATTTGCAACCTCATTCTGGGTAACAGCAGTTTTCTTTCTTTGGGATGCTCTGATTTTCTCAGGAAAGAAAAAGAGTTTAGGGATTCAAACCACACTTGCAAATCAGTTAGGGTAAGGGTAATGTTAAAGATGACAAGACTTGGAGGTTGGCAAATAGAAAAAGTAGGAATATTTCTCCTCTGATCTATCTGTCCACTAGAGAAGAGTTGGTGTTTATTGGGTTGTGTTGCTTAAATCCTTGCTGATTTCCCCTGATAAGGTTGCAAGAGCCGTTTCGGAATTAACAGCTGTGTTTTAGGTTCAACAAGGGGACTGCTGATCAGCGTCAGTCTGTTTAATTGACTGCAGCAAAGTCAGCAGCTTTGATAAGTGTTCAGGATTGTGGCAGCTTCGCAGCGAATATCTGGATTTTCCGTTGGTGCCCAATCTGACCCACGAGCTTCTTTGCAGTATTTTGATAACTTGGCGTCTTGGGCTCTTAGGATTTGAAATGTTTGTTGGGAGAATATTTGATTATGTTTTTGATTATGTTTATTTTCCATTGTTAAGTCCAATGGAAAATGTCCCTGTTATTTTTCAGGGTTGTAGACCATTTTCCACATAGCATCTATGTATGTGTTTATTTGTATAACAATTTTTTTTCCCCCTTTGCAGGAAATCCTCCATCAAAAGTTTATGGCAATATTCGAGCTGTGGCTAGCAGAGCAGCAGATCGATTCTGATTTCAAATCAGATTTTTTATATTCTTTGGACTCTAAAGACCTTACCTCTCTGTGAGCGGTCACAGGAAAACCACGTGGAAAATTTTCTAGTCACTTTAATAGTTGGTTCCTTCTATTCTCAGCAAGAAGCATCAACAGAAAGGAAAACTTTAACAGTATTCACATTTAACAGCTTTGAGGATAACTTAAATTTCAAAATTTTGTACCATTATTATAGTCACATTAAGTATAACTTTTCACTTTTTGTATTTTAAGCAAGATGTAGCAAGTTTGCCTACCATATAATTCTTCTGGTTTAAACAGTTATGTGTGAATTTGTACTTTATCAAAATTTACTATCTTACAAATTTATAAACATTTCTGTGAGCTAGTATTAAAGAGTGATCTCAGGAAACCTCTGAAAATCAAGATCCTTAGTTGAATACTGGATAATTAAATACTTTAGTCAGGTCATAAGCAGCAGTGGGAACCAAATAGGCTAGTATTTGTTTAGTAGCTTGTGAATTTAAAATCAAAGATCTAAGTCACCAGGCTATGTAACCCGAGTTTTGTTTTTCATAGTGAGGAATGGAGTCAGACCTTGCCAATGTTGGGTATATTTTAAGAGCAGTAAGGTGAAATATGGGAAGAGATTTTCCTTTAACACAACTACAATGTTCTGCTGCAAATATGTTTTGACTAGTGTCTGCCTATTTAAGTATCATTCATTTAATGCCTTTTAAAAATAAATTTTCATTAAACTTGACTATACTACATTCTCATAAATCTTGAAAATCCTTGACCAAATCTTTTTTATTTTAATGATGGCAATAGAATGTCAAAAAACTGGAAAAAGCTTCTCTGCCTTTTTATCAGTACATGTAACTGCAGGTCTTATAACTGAGATTTAATGCAAATCTCAATTGCCTGGGATTCAATGTACTTTAAAAATTACTATGGGAATCTAGTGGAAACTTGCTTGAAATATTCCACTCCAAATTTTGTCCTTTGGCAACACAGCAACATGGAGAGAATGTGTGTTTCAAATCTAATTATCTTTTTGAAAGGGCGTAGTCATGAACATGTGGGTTGTTTCTGCCTTTGGCTTTTATAAACATGACTGCTATAAAAATGGGTTTACAAATACATGTAGGTCCTGCTTTCACTTCTCCTGGGCATGTACCAAGATCAGTATTCCTGGCTTCTATGGTGACTCTGCATTTAACTTGAGGACTGTCAGCCACACTTTCGTTGACTACCATTTGATGTTCTCTCAGCAATGTACCAGGGTTGCAATTTCTAGGTATCCTAATCACCAGCATTTTTTTAGTAGTAGGTATTTTAATGGATATAAAGTGGTTTTGAATTGCACTGCCGTATGTAAAGCATCTTTTGTAGAAGTATCTGTTCAAGTTCTTTGCCCTTTTTAAGAAAAATTTATTATTTATGCATACAGAACTGGGGTACAGGCCAGAGTTGCAGGGGTAGTGAGAAGATTCACCAGAGAGTGGGAAGCAGAACGGGCAAATCAGAGAGGTACACTGCTGAGGGGGGCAGCGGGCAAGACAGGAGAGGTCTGCTGCGCCTCTTTGCTCATATTAAAGTTAAGTTTTTCCTTGTTGGGTTGTAGGAATTTTTTTATATATTGGAAAGCAATCTTTTATTAGATGACACTTAAATATTTTCTCCAACTTTGTGGGTTGCCATTTCACCCTGCTGAGTCATCATTTCTGTTCTTGAAACTATCAGGGCTAGGTATAGAAGACTCCAGGCTTAAATGCATCAGTTGGTTTAGGGTTAACTAACTATATTCCTAGATAGTCCAAGAGACCACAGTATGTGCAGTCTCTCCTAATACGAATGTTCTAGAGATTGCCAGTTATGTCATCTGTCACAGATACCATATATCCTTAATAGGGCTAGACGTAGTAGGAAATCTCTTTAAGTTGCTGAATGAATTTCAGGTCTTTTAATCTCAGGAAAAGTTTACTTTTTATGAAAAGTGACAAAATACTAAATAGAACTTATTCTGAAATCACAGCCTGTATAAATAGGGTATCTCCTACTACCTAACTTACTGATTCAGCAAATACTGAGAACTAGGTTAGAGTTTAGAAGTTAGGTCTATCAGTGATTTAAGAAAGAAATCACTGCTTTTGTGGAGCTTTTCATTTTATTTCAATAATTAGGTAAGATATAAAATGTTATGTCAGAAGGGGCTAATAACTGCAATAGGAGAAAACTGGGGCAATAGAGATTAGGTCTTTCCTAATACACCGGCCAGGAAGAGAGTTCCTATTAAGTGGGGTGTACCTGAAGATGACTTGAGGGATTAGTGCTAAGATCTGCAGCTGAAGCAAGGCAAGAGCTCTAGGAACCACAAGGAAGCTAAGGAAGCTGAAGTAGAGAAAGAATATGCAGTAAAGGGATAAGATACTGCTTTGTCGGTTGTTAACAACTTGTGTTTTTATCCAGTGGTAAAGCAGACTTATTTTCATTTAAAGCTTACAGTCAAACAGCCATCCATCAATTTTTTTTTAAATCCAAAATTCAAAAGTGATTACATAATGGCTGTTAATACCCACCAAAGACCACTGTGAATATACTCAAGCAAGTTTCAAATATTTTATTTTCTTATTCATACAGTATGAAGTTTTCTAAAGATCCCACAACATGATGTATCATGCAGAAGAAAAACTAAACATTCAACATAAACCACCCTCCCTCCCACCCACCCACACACTAAGGGAAGGAAAAAAAAAAACCCTCATTCCCCAGTAAGGAAATAATGTTTGCACTATTTTTCTGTAACGCCAGCCAAGATATGCACAAGCAAGAGAAATAGAAAGCATTTGCTAAAATATTTGTAACAAATACTTATGTACAAAAAATTCACAAAAGACTAGTTCCCCCTTGAAGCAGAGCACATGGCAGTTGACACTGGAACAGATCAAACCACTGGCTGGGATTATAAGCCACGTACTGATCCAGAGGAATAAAGTTACATGTAGTGGAGATTTTTCAGTTTGAACATTAACATTTCCAAAGTTTGGCAACATCGTTTAAAATTATGCAAATTATGTAAACAAGAGGTACATTTTAAATCGATCTACATGCAAAACTCCATGTCATGCAAGGACACCAAGCACCGGGATTTTTCTCTCACAGACAGAGCCCATGATGTGCAGCACTCAGTTGAAGGAACAGCGATGGCAGGCAGGTGCCAATTTAAGATTCATTCACTTTGTTTCAACCTGCCCTTTTCCACTCATGTATAAAACCAGTTTTTATAGAAAAACTACATAGGGAAAGATTACTGTCCTAGAAAGCTAACCAAAATGTCTTCTTCCAGCCAACATTGTTTGCACTATAGTACCTTTGCAGAAAAGGGAAGGGATAATATCAAGTGGTGGACATGATACATACTTTTATATCACACAAATTTATTAGTTATCTGTATACAAATATGGGCAAATCAAGAAAACCATCATGCACTTTATCCTTGGGGTAAAGAAATTTAAAAGGTAAAAACTGGATAAGATAAAATTTTGCTCTTCTGTGGCATATAGATTAGTAAGATTTCTCCCATTTAAGTCACATATATGTAAGTGTTTAGATACATACATGCACATTAAATATCACCAGTTTTCAGATTAGCTGCAAGTTTTCTGAAACACAGAAGGGAAACTTATAGTTCAAACATAAGTTTAGTGATAAATTATTTACCCATGTAATGAAACAAATGGATATTCTAAGCAATTACATGATTACTTCAAATACTTGTCATTAAATAATGTCTAAAATAAATGACTGCCTCAGTTTCTGGCTTCTATGCGCAAAATCACAACTGATAATTTACATTTCACTCAGGAACATTCAATAAATGTAACAACTAGTTAATGAAACAATGATGCAGCAGCCATAGCTTTGCCATTTCTATATGAACACAAGAAAGAGCTCTTGGCAGTAGCACGGAACTATACTTTCTCCTCAAGCAGAATTGTGTTAAAAGCTGCTCAACAATGAGACTTAGTCCCTGGAAATATATTCATAGGTATAAATAAAGTACAAACTCCTTTGTTACAAAAATGTACTGAAGGTAAATAAGAGGACATTAACAAATGCTTTGTCAATCTCTCAAAGGAGAAAGCACAGGAGAAGGAAAATTAGCTGGCCTAACACGCGGCTCAAATTGTACAATCTTCTATCTATATATAAAACTGTGTGAAATAAAAGTAAGGATGTTTTATGTTCTGCTTGGCACTTTTAAAATCTATCATTTTGTTTCTGAATCAAGTATATTAAATTAAAGCCAACCTACTACACATATAGAAAGCTACATATATCTATATATAAATATTTACATATGTATATATAGATACTTTCTTGTTATAAAAGATGAGGAAAAATAAATTAAAAAGCCAACCCCTTCCCTTTCTTCACCACATTGATATGCTCTTTTCATGTTGCTGTCCTTCAGACTTTAAAGTGCTACACTGAGTTATTGAGAGAATAAGAGTTCAATAACACTTAGTTGGCTTCATGAGGCTCATGTTGGAAAATGTGGCTTCACAGAGAAAAATACTTCCATTTAAATACACAGAGAGCATTGCTGGACGTCTTGAGCAGATCTTCAGAGATGGAGAAGAAAGCAAAAGTGTTGGGTGGTACTCTTTAAAAAAGAGTCACACATCTACCACCATCTTTTTGTGGATATCTAGGCCACCTACAACCTGCAACAAACAGAAACAAATTAAACTTAGCTGTATTTGTAAACCTTTTTACTAATTTACCTTATCAGAACTTCAATTTTAAGACATAATACTTTAAACCTTAAACACCACTTGGCCCACTCCACACTTTACCAACTCCTACCTTTAGTAGTTTAATATTAAATGATAACTAAGTATTACCATATGAATTATTCTCAAAAAATCAAATATGAGCCTGCATCAGTCTATTCTAAAAGGTATTAAATAGTAGATAAATGAAAAATTCTGCAGATTATTTTCCCATAGAGCCAAAATATGTTGATTCTGTTATGATTCTTGCATCTTTGTATAAAATCGCCCACTCCTCTATTCCAGCCCTTTAGAAGTTTATAGAACCATCTCTTTGTTCCTGCAATTTTAAAATGGTGTCAAAATGTGTTCATATTCAAAAAATACTATACTGGGTAACTTGATGTAAGTCCTTTCAGTAGAATCTTGGTACTTTTGATTCTCAAGTATTTTCTTGGCTCATTTTTTATGACTTCCCTCCATTTCCTTTCTGGGATCACTAGCATTAAGGTGTTAGGCCTCCTAGAATGGATTTCTAAATTCAATGTCTGAAGGGTTTTTTTTTTTCTGTATTACCCAATATATTCTTAAGAATTTAGTCATATATACCTGAGAACAATAATGACAGATTTTTATTTCACTTTTAAAATTTTCACTGGCTTTGCACACCTTGGTTCTCTGCTTCTGTAAAAAGGACCTCGGAACCTCCATGTATATTGTAAGGCTACTAAGTGGGCTACATTTTTGAGTTATGCGGTGGGAGCACTGCTTTAGGGAGATCTTTTTTCCATTTGGTGCCTAAAGTCTAGCTACTAGGAAATGAAATCAGTAGAAGAAGAAGGCAAGAGGTGTCAATATGCAAATACGCTTCTCTTCACTTAATTTCATAGCAAGTCCGTAAGTCCACACATACCCCCCCAAGAATGCACAACTCACATACACCAGAGCCACACCACACCCCACCTATGCCTTGTGTTTTCTAGCTTTGAG